CTCTCATCATTGATGTTTCTAACTCCTTCTCCTTTCCTCTCTCTGAAATCAATAAAGGTATATTAAAAAAAAAAAAAAAAAAAGATGACCGGGTGTCTGTCAGGTACCCCTTTCCAGGTTAACTCTGCCTTATATTGTTTTTGACCTATTTAACAAAACTAAGCTGTAAAAATTGATAGTAATGAAAATGATTCTTTTCCATCGAAACAGAAATGCTTCATGTGTGTCCAGGAGATGCAACAGATTACTGCTCTGTGGATACTGGCAAGCTTTACACTATTTCTAAATAATTTCAGCAACCCTGATTGCCTTGTGCACTTTAAATTCCGCTTTAGACAGGCTGTAACTTCTTACTGGGCCTTTCAGTGAACGAAGAGTTAAAAATCTTTGACAAATGTTCATTTTATCTTGCATGAGGATAATAATTTTACCTTTCCTAAACATTACCCTTTACCATTCATTTACTGTGGCACATTAGGCTTTGCCAGTAGGAAACTGCCCCTATTTTTTCTGTTTAAACACCTGGCAGGTAGAAGCTGAGGTCCTAATGTCACATTCTGCCCTCCTGGTGCGTTTGTGGTACTGCGGACATGAGTTTGTGAGTCCCAGGAGCTTTTACACGTTTACACTCACATGCCCAAATTGTTCAGGTTTTGAAAACAATGTGTGGAGCTGATCTTGGACCTTGGGAGATCCTTCTTATGAGCCTACCTACTTATTTAACTATCTGTTTTCTCTCCTCCTTCAGTGCCTGGGCCACACGTCTGAGCAGGGGTCGGTCTGCTGAAGATATTTCTATGAACCAGCTTGGGCGCCGGGGCATTAAAGATTTAAGGGCCTTGGAATTTAAATTTCTTCTTGAGGAGTCCTTTGGGTTGGTTTGACTTGTGCAACCTGTCTTTCAAAGCAACCTCAGGAGTTACTGAGAAAGGGGGGTGAGAAGAAAGAACCTCCAAGAATGGGTAGAACATGCTCCTTTCTCAGCCTCTCAACTTGGTGGCAGTCTCTACCCATGGGGCTATTGAGTCCTGGAAATGTGACCAGGACTCAATAGTGCCACTGACGAACGAAATTTTTAACTTTACTTTAAATATAAAATTGAAAACTGGTGTTCACTCAGTTATTTAAAAACCCAGTGTGATTGGAACCGTTTGCGCATGCAAATCTATTTTTTAACCATACATTTTATGTATAAATCTTAAGAAATGTAAATACAGAATTTCCTTTTTTTAAAAAAATGTTTGTTGTTTTTTCAGAGAGAGAGGAAAGGAGAGGGAGGGAGAGAGAAAGAGAAACATCCATGTGGGAGAGAAACATCCATTGGGTGCGGTGCACCCTCTGCTGGGGACTGAGCCCTCTGCCACCTGGGCATGTGCCCTGGCAGGGAATCGAACCCCAGATCTCTGGGTGCACAGAATGATGCTCAACCAACTGAGCCACACTGGCCAGGGTCAGAACAAGCGTTTCTTCGGACAGTTTAGCTCCCGGATTGAAATATGTTGCAAATGTAAAATACACACATGATTTCAAAGACGCATATTAAAAAAAGAAGTAAAACATTCTATTAATGGTTTTTCTGTTGATTACATATGAAATGATAATATTTTGAATATACTGGGTAAAATAAAATATATTATGAAATTAGTTTCACCTTCCTTTTTTTGTTTTTAAACGTGGTGTTAGAAAATTTGAGATCCCCTACTGGGTTCGCATCACTGGGACGGGACCCCCTGGACCTTGCACCCTTCCATGCCTGCCCGCTTCCTTCCTTATTTACCAAGGGGCACCCAAGCGATCCTGAACCCCGCTCTTCTGCTTGGGCTCCCCAATCCCGGCAGCTTCGTGCCTCCTTCCTAGGTGGTCGCATCGCCCACTTCTTCCGGCCTCTCCCCTGCAGGGGTGTCCAGGGACTGAGGGACGAGCCCCCCCTCGC